GATAACACATTTATAAAAACTAATATAATAAATCTTTTTGCGGTATCCATCGAAGATATATTTACTTGAAAAATATAGTTCAACAATAGAAGTTGTTTTCTTTCTATTTTAATGTGCATAATGTGAATTATTTATGGAATTATTTTTATTTTTAAAAGTAAAAGAATTACAGTTCTTCATTGTTATTTATTAAAAACATAATTTTTTTTATTGTTTTAGCATAACTTTTTATATGCATTCTATTTATAGTAAATCATATAAATTGAGTCAAATCTGTTCAAATATTTGTTAAACTAGTTCATAGCAATTTCATTTTAATTAAACATAAAAGAAAAAATTGGAATTGGTTCACTCTTATAATGCTTGGCATACAACACATTTCTACAGATAGAACTAATAAAAAAGACTGACAATGTTGTGCCTTTTATTCTTCATATTAATAAGCGCAAATCAAAACATTCAATTGGAATGTATTCGAATAACTCATAAAAATTGATCTATTTTATTCAAAACGAAATATTAATGTTCATATCATTTATAAATAAATAAAACAAATACATTATTTTATAGAAGTTGCGTATTGTTATACAAAAAAAAATAATCTTATTGATTTTCATAAATAATTAATTCATTTTTATTCGCAAAAAAAGAACAATTATATGCCTTTTATAATTTATTATTTTCAAACGTCAACACATTAAAAGTAAATACTGTGGGAATAGTAAATTTTATCATTGTTGAATATAATTTTAAAAATACTAAAAATAGCCAATCTTCATGAGGAAGAAAAATCGAATTTCTATTGAGTAATTTTTATTTTAAAATTATTTAGTCATTTTTAACGATTACTCGCATTTTACTATACCATAAACTGCTTTAATGACACTTTTTTCAAAAAGTAGCTAATTGATATACATATTTTTAAAGAATAAAATATAAGTACTATAGGAAAGATGGCAAATTAGGTCAATGGATGTTTTAAAATGTCTCTTATGGGTTCAAGTCCCGCATTTGCCGTCGTACTGGCGCCTTAACAATTCGCATGACAAGCAAATTGTTAGGTCCTTTTTATTAAACCCAAAAGTAGCTTAATATATTTTAATAAATAAATAGGTAAATTTTTTCGTTTTTGAAGAACAAATTAAATTGTAATACCTATTAAAGGCCAAATCAAACACTAAACATATCATCAGCTTAATTTAAAAAACATATAAGTATAAAATTTATATTTATAAGCTTATTTTTATACCGGTGTATAAAATTAATTCCTATTGTATTTTAATTGACACTTCAAAATGACCAAATTGAATTTTTTTGCTTCAAAATAATAAATATTGTGATGAAACTTGATCGCTGAAAAATTATTGAAATGATTGTTTAAATTGAAACCATAGGAGAATCATTACATATATGGCTTAAAATTTAAATATATAGTTAACTTAATATGAAATCAATAATCTGTACTATGCCAAAAAATTTTTCAAAATACATTTTAATTAACACAAAAAAACAACTTTACTTAGCACAATTTTGTAAGTTGATTCTGTTAAAAAAGTAAAAAAATTATGTAATTGTTTTTTCGAATAAAAATTGTTATTAATTTAATTGTCAATTCAAAAAAAAGAAAAATTGAAACGCATAGAGAATAAATCGTAAAATTTTTTTAATGATATATTAATAAGCGATTTTGATATAAACATAAAATGACATAAAGATAAACAAAATATTCAATCTGATAGCAAGACTCTGCTTACGTAACGCGAAAGCAAAAAATATATCATCGCTACTATAACACCTATATTAAATATAATAAATAAATTACTTAACCAAGATGAATTTGAAACAAAAATCAGTTATAAAAAATTTAAAAAAACTGTCAAGAAAAATAAAATAACTTTGCATTCGATTATGTATTATATTTTTACAGAATTGAAGATATAAACTTAAGATTTCTCCTATTAATTGTTTTGCTAGAGATTGAAGCGAAAAATACTTTTGCTAAAAAATAGCAACTACTTTAAGCAAAGTTAAACTTAATCATTTTATATGAAAATAAATAATTTAAGTGATTTAATACTGTAACAGACTTGATCAAGATTACGAAGAATTATGTTGTAATAAAAGTATTTCATTATTGAAGAAATGAATATTCACTTTTTTCCTATTTTTGCATTCTTTAATTTATATTGATGTTTTAACATGTTAAATTTTATAGAAATTTAACTTTAATAGGGCATTTTTTCAAATTTTAAAAAAATTGAATGCGACATAACTTCGTCCTTTTTTGTGAAAATATTGTGATTTATTAAAATTATTTAATGAGGTTGTAGTAACGTACAGTTCAAATTATATTTTAAAAAATATTTTTAAACAATTATTTCAATATATTACAAGTAATTTTTTCAAAAAATTTGTTTTAGCTTTAAATACGATAATAAAGAATATTTTAATTCTCAGATAGTAGCTTAAAATGTTTTTCGTGTAGTTTTATATAAAAATCTGTAATTCCAATTATAAAATTAATATTGAAATAGCAGAAAAAAAAATCGTATGAATACTTTCTATACTAATCAAAAAAACTGACCCTTACTAGCGAAGCTGATTATATTATATAAGTCAGAATATGTATTTTGAATAATTTTTTCTTAAACTCAATTTTGGAAATTTTTATTGGCACAATTAAAAACTTTTTTAGTGTATTTATATGTAATAAATTTTAAGTTTACAGTTATATACTTGACAAATACTCCCATATAAGTGCATATAAATACTTAATACACCAGCTTAAAAGCATAAAATTCTATTTATACAGCCTTTAGCATGATTTTATCGCCTAATTCGATTGTTCGAGATTTTGCGTTTGTTAAAAAATTAATTATAAATTGAATATCGCTAATTACAGCAGTTTTATACGAATTGCAGATAAATTTCAAAATCTTCTAAAGTATAAAACAGTAATTTTGTAAATCGTACATTAATTGTTAGACTGTTCAATAAATTAGTAATAAATTAAAAAAATTTTGTATATAGCGGTAAAAAACATATGGGGAAGTTTTTATATGCCAAAATATTTCCAGACATATACGGAAACTAGCGTATTGAAAAATTTATACAGTTGTATCTATAATGGTTTTAATATGATATTTAAAAAGTAGCTAATCATAAAAATTGGATTTGAGGCATCTGAAATTTTCTAAAAAAATCAAATATAAAAATAATAAATATTAAAAAATTTTTTGTGTTTGTTTATTGTAAAAATATGCGCAAACGCTCTTAAAAACAGTTTTATATTATAGAAAATTTAAAAATTTATTAATCTGTGATTTTATAAAAAAATTTTACCGTTATTACATATTGATATAATATAAAAATCTTTTATTTCTTTTCTTTATTTTTACTTTTTTTCTCAATTATGTTTTGTGTGTTTTTTCTGCAATTTTAAATAATTTATAAACTTGATGCATTGATTATAACCCATTTCAAGCAGAAAAATTGTGAGAAAGACAAAGTTAATTGGTTTTTGTGTTTATAAACTATAGATTGTGAAATTTCAATATTCTTATTGAAGTATACTACTTAATGTCTCTGCAAATTAGAATAGCTACCAAAAACGAATTTTTCAATTTATCCAGGACGAGACAATTATTTGAAAAGAAAAAAATTCATATGTAAAAAGTGGTTTTTGCATTAGCGACAAAGAGAATAAGTTATTTTTGGCACATTTGATTTTTAAGGCTATCTATATATCAGAGATAAATTTGCTTTTTTACATTTTTTGAAATTTTTCCTTAACTATTTATCTGAAGTCTAGCTAATAAACTAAAAATGAAAATGTGGTAAATTAGTTATGGATCATTTATAAAAGCAATATTGAGAAAAAGAATAAAAAAAATGAAAAAAAACAATGTTTAATTTAATCTTAATAATAACCTCTAAAAACATAGGTAGAAATATATTCAGCCATCATAGTATTATAATTTAATTTTTCAACGAGCAAAAAAACATGCGCGCATTAAATTATTAAATTACAATAAAATGTGTAAAACGAAAAATTTTGATTTAATATAAAATACACACTAGAATTGCATTAACTAGAACAAATAATAATTAAACTTTACGTTTTGATCTTGTAATATAAATCAATATGAAGTTTTTTAAAATGGATTGGAATGTTTATTATATTAAGAAGAAATGCAATAAAAGCTGTAAAATAGTAGATATATCAAAAAATTGCTATGTTTTAAATTTTAGATGAAGAAAAATCGTAAGCTGTAAATGAGTAGGTTTTATTAGTTTCTTAGGATTAACTAAGTTAGAAAAATGTGCTATTCCGGAATCGAACCGGAGACCTTTCGCGTGTTAGGCGAATGTGATAACCAACTACACTAACAGCACTTAAAATAATGTGTTATATTTACTATAATAAACGTAAATCCAGTTTTGATAAATTCAATGCTTTTTGTAAATAAATAGGCGGTCCAAAAAATCAATGCTGAATAAATGAATTTATTAAGTGATTTGGTAAAATTTGCAACAGAAAAGAGTTTTTTATTATATAACGCCATAAATTTTAAAAATTCATTGTAAAAATTTTAAATAATGTTTACCTGTTGCAATTAATTTAAATATAAAAATTACAGCAGAACTCTTTTTTATTAGCGAATAAGAGTTAGGTAATTTTTTAGTACTTTATTAGATAAAAAATGTATCTGTTCACGATTTTTTTATCACGCTTATATTTTTTTTTACAGGATGCATACTAAATCGATAGAGAAAAATTTTCGAATTAAAATATATAATATAATGGAAGAAAAACAGAATAGATATGTAAAATACTTTTTTCATATCATTTTTAAGATTTTAAATAAAAAGCCATGATAATCCACACTACATCTTTGATTAGGGGTCTTATGGACAAAATCTTTCTGTATTAGAACAAGTGTTTCTTTTTGAAGAATAATTTGATTTTTGACATAAAAATCAACTTTCTATTATTGATTTCACCACTATCGATGAGTTAATATAAAAAATATTTTCCGATGTAAATTTTAAAATCCATTTTATAATCAATTTAATACTCAGCGACATCAAGATATTTTATATAATATAGATTTTCATTGGTTTTTTATAAATTTTAAAAAAATCTTAAAAATTGCATATTCATATATGGAATAAAAATTTTCCTTATGAGATTTAGTTGAAATATCAAATTTAATAAAATTTTCATTTTAAAACTTATATAATTGACTTATCCAATCAAAGTTTTAGTTTTCAAAATGAAACAACGTTTTAAAAAAGAGAAAAGTAGACAACTACAGAAAAGAAATAAAAAAGCACTAAAATGATATTATTGCTATTATTTACATTACCATTCTTATTACTAGTATTAAAAATATACTACAAGAAAAATAAAACTGATTATGCTGGAAAAAAAGTACTGGTAATTGGAGGAACAAGCGGATTAGGCCTATCAATAAGCCGCCTACTAAAAAACCAAAAAGCAAAAGTAACAGTCGCATCGCGGTACCTCAACTACTTTGACAAAGAATTTGGCACTTTTCGATTGAACATACCTGATATAAAAAGTTTTCCAAAAAACAAAACATCGTTTGATTATATATTCTGCTGTGCTGGAACGTCAAAGCCTGGTTTTTTTAAAGATATGGAGCCAACAGATTTTAGTAAACAAATTGAATTAAATTACTTGGGAACTGTAAACAGTTTGCACCACTACATGAATTATAATAAGAAGCCATTTAAGTTTGTTATGATAGCTTCTACGATGTGTTTCTTATCTTTTCCTGGTTATTCAGCGTACACGCCTAGCAAGCACGCTTTATATGGGTTTTTTAATAGTGTTTTTGATGAGATGAAATCGATGAATATTGATCTTTTTATTTACTTTGTAAGTTCGATGCAGACACGTGGATTCGAAGAGGAAAACAAGTGGAAACCTTCTTTTACAACAGATATTGAAGGTAAAAATGGAATGCATCCAGATAAAGCTGCATCTATTCTTTTAGACGGAATGGAGAAAGGGAATGTGATTTGTAGTGATATTTTTACAAATTTAATGAAGTTGAAGATTGTTTTTACATCTTTAAAAGATTTATTATTGTTACCAGTGGCTTTTGTTTTTTATCCAATAGTGATTTTATATATCAGATTTAAGTTTTGGAGATATAATAGCAGAAAAAAGGAGAAATTGTATTAGAAAGAATATATAATATAAATTTTATATGAAGAAGGCTCTTTTTTTCTGCTAGATTATGTTATTATACACACACATGTGTATGTAAAATAATTAAAGATACCCTAAATTATCATATTAGCTCTATATATTCCTTTTACTATAGCTATATGTTGTTTAAACCACAATATTAACAGATTTGGTTTTAAAAAAATGATTGTGATATTTTTACTAAATAAAAATTTACTGTGAGGATAAAAAATTATGTTTAATATTATTTTTTATTAAAGTTTTGATAAATTAACATTAATGTTGATACTAAATTTAAATACTTGCTAAAACATGAAATATAAAAAATTGAAGTGCTATAATATAAATACAATGGTGAATAAACAACACCACAATAGTGATTCTAAATATTTTTGTAAATATATATATAGTATAGATTAAATTAACACCAATATATGCAATAATTCGAAATTTAGCTCTGATTATCATAGAATCTCAAGTCATAAATAATACACAATATCAAATAGCAATCCTCTACTTTTCTTATTAAGAGATAGATCGATCTTTAAATGGACTTTAATCATGTTGTGATATTCATTTTTTAACTGACTTTTAATTTATAATTTGATAAGCCATAAATACACGAAAAGATTTTTAATAGAGTATCTCACAGTGAAATTTTTATGTCAGTACAAACCTAAAAGTTTTAAGTACGATAAATGTAAAATAATTTTTTAATATTGGAAATAGGAAACTCTAATAAAAATAACAAAAGAAAAACATAAAAAAATTCTCAAACGGAACGGAGTTATAAAAAAAGAATAACATGAAAATACAATAAAACCTTTTCTTCAATCTATTATCACTTTATAACCTTTTTTTCCCTTATACCTTCTTAAAATATTCTGTTCTTCTTTTAGTGTGTAACATTTGATAAATCACTGTTAAAGAGTTTTGATGACATATAGATAACAAAGAAATGAATTTAAACTTTTGATGTAAGTTTTAGTGTAAAAAAATGTTTGTAAAATAAAAAAAAAATTATAAATGTGTTGTTAAACATTTTTTAACGTTTTTTTAATAACTAATGTTAAATAAATCTTAAAAATCTGGTATTCTATAAAATATCATAAAACACAAAACAATATGTTAAATCAAAAAATACGCATGATCAAAAACTAATATAAATCGAAAAAATTTAATACATACAAATCATGGTCAAATAAATTTTTACAGGAGATATTCTTTTTTTAAAAAACACAAATTATTATGGTGTAAAAAATATTATAAATATTAAATTATACATCAATAAGATTTTACAAATACTATACACTTTTTTTATTCGTTTGTCTTATCGAACTTCAAAAACTTGATTCTATTATCATAATAAGATTCCAAATTTTCTGCACACTTATAAAAAGTGGTACTTGGGTGGTTATACAAGAAACAATTGCTTATCATAAGCTTAAAATCGTCATTAAACTCCTTAAATGTCTTATATAGGTTATTCTGAATTTTCTTTTCCATTGTACCAAGGTCTATCGGTCTTTTTATAATATTGTAGTAATCCCATGCTTCACTTGTCTTCACCGGCTGCAGAAAAGGCCACGCGTTGGTATTATTCTGCAAGTCACTGATAAGAAAACCCATTATTATATGTATATTAGTAGTACTATGCGGTTTTCCTTCACAATAATCAGTAGTCTTTATATTTTCAAACCCAGGTATATCACTTATGCTATCAAATTGTGCTGGATCGATTCCAGGATAAACTTTTAAAAAATTATTTTGTCCTGAAAGCTTTGTCAGTGCCTTCAACTTGATTTCTCTCACAAACTCGTCTTTGTTAATGTAATTAACCTCCCAATAAACCTTACATTGCATCAAAGTACCACCGTCATAGTCTTTGATATATCCAATCCAATTTTTAAGCTTGATATCTGTTGTAAACCCGTTTTTTTCAAAATACCCTATTGCAGTGTTATCAGCATATGTCAAAAAGTACAAAGACTGGCTGCGTACCTTGTAGCTTTTATTCAAATAATCCTGGCTCTTTTTTCTGAATGTCTGCGCAGTCGCACCGAGTGTTTTTAAAAAGTAATCCATACTGCTGTCTGCATTTTTTCTATTCGACATATTGAAATAAGCTTCTGATTTTGTATGTTCTTTGAAGCAGTCCATCATAAACCCGCCATATCCTTTTACTTGCGAAATGTTGTCGACTGCACAAAACACAATTTCTACAAAGTTCTTTTCGTAAAACGGACGGTAGCAGATTCCGCCGATCACCTTTTTTCCTTCAATCAGAACAAGAGTCTTGTGCTTTATATCGAATATCTGTCTGTACATGTAATCTTTTGGCATCTTCGGAAGCTGTGTCTTGAATATTGCCGTTATATCATATAGCAAATCAAGAAATTGGCTGTTTTCGGGTGAGTATATGTCGTTGTTCAATATTTGGAACGAAAGTTCGCCATCAATAAATTTTTGGAATACGGCTTTTGTACGCTCTTTGCGTTCAATGAAACTGTATGGAAACAGCGTAAATTCCATTATTTATAATTTGTGTGCTTTTTATTAATAAATACCTATGATAATAGTTGTATTTGCTGCCTTTCGTTTTGGATTTTTTATAATAGCGTTTTTATACTATTTTTTGTGTAAGATGAGCTGAAGGGTTTAAATGACAGTATTCATATATACATTTTATAAAGTGATGTTAAATTAAAAACAAAACAAATATATCATGTATTTTTTAAAAATTAGGTATTCGAAGGGTGCTTCCTCTTGTCATCATAATAATTAAATGTATATTTGTTTTATATTCAAAAATTTCATCATTTTATGATGAAATAATTAAAAAGAAATTATATTAAAGCTGTTTATACTGATTTGAATATAAATTTGTCAATAATAGGAGATAACTAAGATAGAATTTTATTATTAGTAAAGAATCGATATATTAATTCACATTAAAATTATTAAACAAATATAATCTGCATATAATGTTTTCGTCAGTATGTTTTTTTAGATTTTATTTTAATATTTTTGTTTATCTAAAAATATTTTATTTGATAAAAAAATAGATTTACAATTTCTTATCAAAATGAAAATAATAAGAGATTTGTGAATAATTTTAAAATATAAAAGTATAAATTTAAATGTCATATAATTTCACCAATCGATATTAACAAAT